ACAGAGTGATAGTAGTATAATTATAAAATCTTAGAATCTCAACTACACTTCCACTCCATGATATTAAACAAATAATAATAATGCCTGGAAGTAAAGACATAACTCATTGATCTTCGGCTAGACGAATTTATCTGTTGAAACCATCATATAATAAGAAACATGTTGGTGCAATAGCACCATCTGAACCAGACTATAAGACAATAAAACCAAAATACCAAAATAAGTAAATAAATGAAGATAATGAACCTAACCTTTAGAATTGAGATTGAGCAGAAGCAGACACAGTTGTAGCACCAAACCAGAGTAGTAGAGAGATGACACAGTAAAGGGTTGGAAAGAAACAATGAATTAACTAGACTAGAGCTATTAGTTGTTAGTAGATAGCATTCACATATAATATATATATTGCTGAAATATTTTGGATTATTATAATTATTTGATGTCATGATGTGCTATTTTGGCTATTTCTATCATCAGCACCAGAGAAAATTAAAAGAAACGTAGCCCAACACTTGTAAGCACATTCATGCCTTAGAAAAAGGAATGAATTTGGAAGTTCCCACCTCATAGTAGTAAAGTTGAGCAACATTCATGATGTTGTGCCACCTGGATGGTGACCGACACGTTGGCAGTCATGATGATCTCGTGTTGTTTAGGTAGGTGATTGATTTGAACCGAATAACCTATACACGCCATCATAAAAGTTACCAAATTCAGACCCATTTGTCTGAGCTGAATCAGATGACTTTTTCTGAGTATATACTATGTTGAAATTGTTGTGTAATTTCTAGTCTCTCCTCATTTTTATTTCTCTTTCTTTTTCTATAATTACAAAATTATAATATCTTTTATTTTTTTTAAATTATTATATTTTTTTTTAATTTTTTGTTTTATATTTTTATCTTATAATAAATATACAGGTGTAACTAAATAAAAATAAGAGTTTTGATATTTTTAATAATTAATGTTATGTATCTGAAAAGATAATGTAAATAAAAATAAAAAATCTTTCCAAATTTTGACAATTAAATAAATATTTTGATATTTATTTTAGATTTAAATGTATTTTTATTTTTGTAAATATTTGTTTTTCTAAATAGACTTTTTTAGGTAGTTTTATTTTGTTTGGTTGTTGTAATATATTTATTTTACTTTTTGTAATGAGTATATAATTTATCTTCCACCTTATTTCCAAAATGGCTAAACTTACAAATAATTTACCCAGTTGGAGTAATATTTTTCTGTGTCTAAAAAAAATATGTAAAGAAAAAAAGAATATTATTTTTTAATATTACATGTAATTTACAAAAATATTATTTGATTAAAAAAATTTAATAATTATAATTACTTGTCATTAATATTTATTTGTATTGGATTGTGTTAAGTCATATCAATATATATGTTTGTCATTAAGTTTATTGACATAATTTACATATTTTTATGAAGCTGTTTAAGATTGTTGTTTATGTAAGTACACAGATTGTTAACCAATTAGGAAGTAAATAAGATTTATTTAATTTATATAAAAAGTTATTACACAATTCAATAATTTAATTGACTTTTACATTGCTACCATGTGAAATGGTTATGCATTTCACCATTGTCTTATTTGTGAAATTATTGGCTGTGTCACTTTGTTTATATTTGGTTCCGTCAGAAAGGCTGCTACACCACACTCTCTCCTACAAAATAACAGAAAAGAAAAAACAAAAAAGAATTATTTTGATTAATTTTCTATAAAAAATGAAATTAATTTTTAAGTCAAAATTATTTATCCTTAAAATAATTATAAAAATATCTTATATAGAATTTAATTTTTATAAAAATTAAACCTATTATATATATATATATATATATATATATATATATATTATAATAAAAGTATATATATAATTTTTGTAGCTTCTTAATTTCTAATCAATTTTATTATTTATAGAAGACAATTGGTTATTAACAATTTAATAAAAATTATTAAAAAATAAAGATTAATATGTTTGATAACTTATATTTTTTTTATCATAAATTTATCAATGACATTTTTTAATCAAAATATACTTTCAATTTATTATAAAAAGACATATAAAAAAGAATTATAATATAGTGTTTTCTTAAAATAAATTTTATAATTTAATATTATATATAAATTATTATATGCCTATAAAATATATGTAAGTTATTTTTAATTTTATATAAATTGATATTAATATTAATATTAATTTATTTTTAAAATAATTAATTTATATTAAATTATACCTTGATTTTAATTTATTTTTATTAAATTTATATTGAAATAGTAAAATTATTAATTAATTTAATCTATTATTATTTTTTAATAAGTTAAATCAATTTTATTAACTCTAACTTTTCATTTTCTTTTTTTCATTTTTACTGTCTCTCTCTATTTGAACAACTCTTTTTTTTCTTTCTCAAATTCATCCTCAATTCAACAAAATCTTATATTAACCAATTTAATATAAATAACCAATTGTTAAAGATAGTAAACTAAACTGACTCATAAAATAGTTAATTGTTTTATAATAAATTTTAAAATTTCCCAGTTAATAATATTTGTTAGGAAAATGGGTGATAACTCAATTTTTGAGAAAATAAATATACATACCAGGCAATTACTCTTAAAAAAATCACTTAATAACTATTTTTGTTAATATAATGGTAATACAAATTTAAAATTATTATTATTAAAATAGAATTGTAAGATGAATGAAGGTATCAAAAAGTTCAACCATTCGATTTTGATTTATATAACTAGATAAATCGTTATCCTGATTTTGCTGTATTTTAAAATATTAACTATTTTTCTTATGTCATAAATGAGATTTTTTTTTATCATTCTTACCTGTATGTATTGATTTTCTAATTGTATACAAAAATTCTTTGTCTATAAATATTATTAAATATAAACATCGGATAAATGATTAGATAAATGTGTACAAATCATTTTTATAACAACCAAAATTCATTTTCTAAATGCATGCGTAATAAAGTTAAATTAAGTTATGATCGCAAAATTACTTTAAATAACTTATTCTTTCACATTACTGAATCTAAGATTCCAAGTCTTCAAGAATGAAAAATAGAAAGCATGTTATATATATAATCAAATGACAAGATCACAAGGTTTAACTAGGGAAAACATTTGCAACAACTTGGTATATTTTAGATTTCATATAAGGAGAATTTGCTCATAAAGTTTGGGTGGTAATCTAGAATAAGAACAGAGATTCGTTGTGTATTCTTATATACATCTTGGTTGGTTCCTTACAGAAAAACTATGAATCCATCGCTTTCCCTTGACGAGGGGAGTTTGATGAGTTCGTAGTTAGGTTTCACTTTTTATGATTTTCAGTGAGATCAGAATTTCAGAGTCTTGTTCAAGTTACCATGAGATGCCGTTAGTTAGTCACAATACAAGTCTCAAGTTGTGCCTTCTCATCACTTTGTAGTCTTGCTGTTCTTTCAACTCATAAAATGTTAGCATTTCATTAAATTACAAAGAACTGCTACTAACACTGATTGTGATACCCTAACTCACATTGTTTGTTGGGCAACTTCCATTGGGGAGTGGGTAACATGCATCTTTGTTCACTTTCTCTTCTTATCTTTACAATAAGAATATCATCATTTCATCAATATTAATTTATCAATATGCATTCATAATTCTACTAAATGCTAAGCAATAATTCAAACACAAAGAATCAATGAGCTACTCCCTATTTGCCTACAGGAGAGGGACAAAGAGTATTGGATCCAATGGTTGACAAAACCCTTAAGTAAAGGAGACCTGACAAGGCACGTGCTTCAAGAAGGAGCAGCACGTGTCTTCTTCATCTTTCTTCCATACATTAATTAGGTTGGTGTTGCCCATGCTTTTGTCTTGGGGTTTCTATTGAGATGGATGGTTAAGTTAAGAAGATAATAATTTTGTATCAAACAAATGAAAGGTAAACATTGAATTGCGTAATGCAATAAAAAAACATCTAATAACTCCATAGGGAAGGGATGTTTTTTTTTAACCATTTGTTGTTTAAGATTTATGGCTAGACTGATTCATAAGACGTGGTTACAACTAAAAGGTCCTTTCATTAAAAAAACTACCTAATTTCTTAGAACTGTGATTCGTTCTTTTTTTGTAGCATAAGCAAGAGTTTACAGGATGTTTTGACAAATTAATGTATATATTAACACGGTTGTTAAGACATTGAATTCACTACTTTTTTTTTTCATTTTCATGTAAAAGGGTTTGATTTCTCTTGAATCCTTATTCATGTTATGTTATGTTCAACTAACTAACTCACATTTAGAAAAACATTACACCAACTGAAACAAATGGATCATTTTTAATTGAAACTGAAAGGAGAGATAAAAATATTTTATACCTTCAATATGTATAAGCTCTTTTTTCTAATTTTATTACTATGCATGCAATTTTCTAGCGCCCTAGGGTTTCTCACACGACTGTATTGTTGTCAACCAAAGCTTTGGAGATCATGACTCAAAATTTGAGTAAATATGATGAGATTGTAAAAGAAAAGAAAAGAAAAGAAATAGTGCCTTGAATATCACTTCGTCCTTTGTTCATTCCTTACATTATATGTTTGATACAACAAACAAATAAGTCCTAGGAGCTATAAATCTATCAGCAATTAATCATTAAAGAGCCATTTTACTATCTTTACGTGAATTAAGCGTCATTAACTAACCTGCCACAATTTTATATAGTTGACTTCCCTTTCTTTTCTAATGTATTCAACCATTTACAAATTCCACTGGATGTGGAAACTTAAACATACACAAGCCACCCACTACTAATCGCCCACCTCATGTTATAGATTTCCATTTTTAACTTAAAAAAGTCCTAAACTACTCTTTCACATCACCAAAAACCTTTGAACGTGTCTCTTTTGCACTTTCCCATCTCCAAGACGTAGTCATATATACACACTAGCAGGCTACATAGCTTATCTAGCTTGTAATTAAGCATGTCAAAGCCTTCTAATAACACTCTCCAAAGGCCTTCTAACATTGTTGTACAAAGGCCTCATAGGAAACAGAAGGAGATGGTGATGTTTCTTGATCATGATAAGCTAGCAAGGGATTTGTCCAATCTCTCCAATGAAGCTTACCATGTTGAATCTGCTTCAGTTCCCTTTGTGTGGGAATCTCAACCAGGCACTCCAAAGGTTAGATTCAAAGCAAACTCTCTCCCTCCTCTCACACCACCCCCATCTTATTTCCAAAATGCTACCAAAAAGACCACTCCCAAGGCCAAGAATAAGAACTCACCAAAATCTAGCTTTTTGCAAACTCTGTTCCCCAAACGTCCTACTACAAAGGACGGTGTTCCTCCACAAACTGGATCTCAAAATATCTGGTCTTATTCTTCTTCTTCCCCTTCTTCTTCATCCTCATCGTCTTCTTCTTTGTCGGTCTCTTCTCCACGGCCTACATCATATTCCGTGCCATCATCTCCGATGATACACTCGAGGAAGGGTGCAGAAGATGAAGATCTGTATAAGGTGACTAGTTCGAGTTTGTGCTTTGGTAATGCCAGGTCGAGAGGGTGCTATTCATCCATGTTCAAGAAGGTACTTCTTGGAGATTTTCTGTGACATGTTGTAGCTGTATTTTTTTGTCTATGGTTGTTGTTAATAAACGTGGCTAGTTGGATAGATTGTATGTGCCAAACTGATTCTTAAAGTAATGAAGTGCATCATATCTTTAACTTGCTTACCTTGTGTATATATATATATTCATTCCTTCTCTTCTTGTTCTGGTTTCAGACTTTTGAATTTAGACTCATGAGTAGTGCCTTTAAGTTGGGCTTCAAGCCTAAACAAAATCATCTCGTCATACGCTTAAATCGTTAACATAAATATACTGCAGAGAATATAATGGCTTCCAATCTTAAATGAGACAGGTTTATGTTGGTATGAGGTTGTGATAGCAGATCAATTTCAATACTACAGAATGTTATTTCACCTCTTTGCTGTGGACCCCATTAGATCAGAGTCTCCTAAAGGCATTACCATAAGGCTTCCGTTTAAAAATTTACATTAAAAGTTAGCCTAACAATGTATTTTGAACAACTTAATTTCATTCTCATATGTTGTAGTCAAAACATAGAAGAATCTTTTTACTCATACAAAAATTTGATAAACTGAAAGATCGAAAGTTTAAGTGGCTTAGAGTTTACTCATCATACGCTTCAACAAAAGAATTGCATTTCAGCAGGAAACGATGGATAATAAAACGTATGAAGACAACGACAAAATGAAATGAACAAACTTTATATTCTGCTATTTAGTACATACAATACGACATTTTTTGCACGAATGCTATACGAGTAGATGACACATCAACAAATTGAAGAAAAAGACCATCAAAAGTTCAAGAATATACATGCATATTGACGAAAAGTCACTGACCAATAAGGAAAAATTTCATCAACACCTCAACCATTCGTGCACCACGAGAATCCTTAAATAACTGAGATAAATTAGAAATCCTCAGCTATAATATAATGTTATTGCAGTGTCGGTAAAATTCAGCGCGCATACTGGTAGTACCCGTATGGTATGCATGCATTATGTGAGACATCCACGAGCAATTGTCTCTTACATATAACTTGGCAATATGTTTGGCAAGAATGTATGTAATATAGAAACATCAAAAACATTATCTTTCAACACCAAAAATGTAAATTGAACATGTCCACCGTAATCGACCTTAAGCGTCTCACATGTTACGCGTATCTATCATATCCTATATATTTTTAAAATGATCGTATCATCGTATGGAATCGTATGTTACATCACTGTATCTATACACTATAGAGTGTGGGTGAATGATCTGATCAACAAGTAATTGTGTGAAAATCCCAGAAAAGTGTGATTATTTGGCCGCATTCACAGCTTTCACTTCTGTTGGGTGAACAGCCAGAAACTGAGGTGTACAATTATTTGGCTCTGATCGAACCTGTTATTTCCCATAATTTTCCTCCTAAAGACTTGCGTCACCGAGTTTATACAGTTTAATCATGGGTTAGTGCTGATTTTTGTTGGCTTGCATTTTTTCTCATGATTGACATGAAGTAGATGATGGGTACGAAAAAACGTGTGGGGCCAACTGAAGAGTTAATAAGATGCAAAGTTACGAATTTAATGGTTAAAAATTAAATTATGATAACTGGTCAAAACTACCAGCAGAGCTAGTTGATGCATGTTGGGTCTAAAGTGCACTGATGCAGTCAAATATTTGAATGCAGAATGTAATATTTAGGAACAATTAACAAAAAAATGAAGTTAATATTTTAAAAAAATTTAACTCAAGTTCAGTAAAAGTTGGTATTTGAAAATTGCAAAAATCATATAAGGTTTAGAAATATACATATTTAAATCAATGAAGTTAAACTAAAATACAGGAAATTTCAAATAATTGAAAACATCGTGCAAACATTTCCATCTGATGCGTAGAAAAATCCTCGTATTCTTGGACTGGTTAAATATTTTCAGAAAAACTATTTTTAAAATGCTATAAAATATGCATTTCACTGCCCAAAGATACAAGAAGTTAATGATACGTTTAAACAACTTCTAACTCAACCTTTGTTTGTTTTAAATAATCTAAGAAAGCAAGTAGAATGCACCAGATATATACAGATCTATATTGTTTACATCTATCAATAAAACAATTAGAGAGATCAATGCATTAACACTTTCGTTTACCATGCCATTAATTTTGGAATAAGAATAGATACATGTTCATAGTACGATGTCTCGTGGTCCTTTTTTTTTTTTTAATTGATCTAGTCATTATTCCAAAGTGAATAGAGGAAATAGCATTGGGTTAGGAAGAATCATTATATGTTAATTAAAATGTGTTGTCTTCTGGGATGTGTTTTTGGGAAGGGACAGGAACTGGTATGTATAATTTGGAGCACTTAACCCCGATTCGTCGTCTTCATTATTAAATTCCTAATGGTTTTCTAAAAAAAGAAAAATCATTTTTGAAAGAAAGTGTCAAAGACCCAGTTGCCATTGGAAAATGATCTCCTGAAAATTATAATATATCCCCGAAGACTAGATGCTACTTTTAATGTATTTTATAACTAGATCCCATGAAAATCCATTGCTTTAAACTTTATCATCACAACCACGCGTTGAACACTTTTTCCGTGGATTACTTGCTCCAAGCATTGCAAAGTCTCTTTCGACTTAGCTGGTGGTTGTGGTGAATAAAATTATAACTTACAACTTAAAACAAACACGTTGATATTTGATATCTGCATAACTACATTTTAAAGCCATACCCATATGGGTGAAATTTTCCATTTAGGTTTATCTTGTTCAACTACTACAACACAATACCATAAAATTCGTAACATTATTATATGAAAGTGAAATGGTGATTATTGCTTCATCTGGTTAAACTGATTTGATCACTTTTGTTTTACATAAAATGGTCTAAATTACAAATTCAGTAATGATGATATCAATGAATTAGAGCTTCCAAATTGTTTTCTGGTTGATACTTATTATGGATCTAGTTATTGATAGATTTTGTCAATTTTCTTTTTCTAAAGACATCTTGATGATGGTGATAATCAGATTCAAGATTGTCGGCAGCAGAGAGTAGATTAGTGGGAGGGAAGTTATCACATCAAGGCATGGAGTGTTTGATTGAAGATGCCAACTTTAGACTTGGAAACTAGCCTTCCTTGTTTAGTAAATGAACGGCTATTACATTTTCAAATTAATCATGTTACTAAAACAAAACTAATTTAACTTTTCATTAACTATTTTATTATACAGTTATCCTTGGTGTATTATTTTATAACCTTAATTGTTTAGAAATAGTTTATTAAAGTTTATAAGTTGAATGAGTCTCATGTAAAAGTATGTTTATTTAAAAATATACATAACTAAGAAACAGACTCTAGTCGTATGTAATAATAAGATTTTAAATTTAAGATGATATTAAGTTTTCTTGAACTTGTAGTCCAATAATAAAGATTTTCTCAATATCTCTTCGGCTTAGATTTTTTTAACATAATTTGAAGTTAAGATTCAAAATATTATTTTTAAAGCGATTTACAAAATAATTAAATATATGTAACTCGTTTATAAAGTCATTGTGTTAAATAAGTTACTATGATTTAAATTTCAAAATTCAAATTTCACCTTTAACCTTTGTTAACATCATATTTTAAATTTTAAGCAGTTAGAAATAAGTATGACTTTTCTGCATTCAATGTTTGTATTTTTTTTTCTCTTATTTTGTCGTCATTATTTTTCTTGTGGGTCTATCTATTCATTCAACCTATTCTCCTTCCAAATGTTTATAATTTTTTGATCAATTTAATCTTCTTTTAATCGTATGTGCTCCATGATAACAATAATACACTTTGTAAAAAGGTGATTTTTCATCTACATTGCTTCAGGAACATTTAATTTTCTTCAAAGCATATGCATTTTCATGGTGTTTGCATCAGTAGAAGTTTACATTATCAATTAATTTACCATTGTATCGAAATTTATAACTGACAATGCTGTAACTCTTTTCTATTAATAACACAACCATTATGATTCCATCCAAACTTGTCTTTGCTATTAATACATTTCTTAACATAATAAATTTCAATAAATTCTAGAAAATACATAAAAAAAAAAAAATTCAAGCCCAAATAAATTTTAAGTGCAACTTTGATTTAAATAAAACATTATGTTGACGAGTAAAAAATTATCCTAATGTGTCCAATAGCCGAACATTATTAACAATGGCAAGTAATTCATATAAATATTTGTTGATTGTCTCATATCTTTTCAATCCATGTAACTTGAACTCCCTCAGTAAATTCAATACATCTTTTGGTGTACACGATTGTGATAAGAAGATTTTTCAGACAAGTAAAGAAACATCTTTTTTGCTGATACCTTCTTGGGTTTTATTCTGTTTTTTATTAGACGATTGTGGGTTGTCTGACAGGGATGACAGGGGTGTAACATCGTAATCTTTCTCCACGATTTCTAGAATAATCAAAACCAGTTAATAATATCTTTGAATCAAACAACAAGTATAAAAATACTTTGAAATGATAGGAGAGACTAGAAGATTAATGAATGAAGAAAAGAACGTGTGTTTTGGTCTGATGTTTCACTCCAAATCATTTATATATAGAACAAAGTGTTTGTGTTTGTGATCTACATAAAGACCCTACGGGGTTTATGAATATCACTCAGAAGTTCTCACACACTTAAAAAGCACTTCTGTAAGTACCCCTTGAAGTTGAAGGCTCTAAGACTATCAGTGCTCATACCGTCCAAGCTACGCATTTGACAGATATTAATATGCATGAAGGACCATTTTGTAAGCAATCTGAGAAGTGAATGCAACAAAAACACCACAAACATCAGAAGCCTTGTGCTTCGGCCATCAAATCGAATTGAATTCTTTCAATCTTCATTGGAAACAGTCTGCCACAACTCATCTGCATAATTGCAACCTTCTAGCTCACCAAATTCTATAATCACCTTTCTTGATTATAATAATATACTCTTTTGCCTTGTTACTATTTAATCAGCATTCAACAAATTATTCTTCAAATAAACATACAACACGCAGAAATATTTTCCACAACACCATTCTTGGTCTTTATCTTAACATATATCACATTCTCATCACTTATGAAATTAACAGTAGAGTGGAAATTTTCATTCAAGTGTAACATTTAACTTTGTACTTAAACAGACAAGTGTAACAGTTAAATGCATGATGACCATACTAAAAGCACTCTACCTTTTTGCTTCCATCTATGTTGTCCATTTTTCCCCTTCCTCTTCCTCTACCAATACCTCTTTCAATCGTATAAGCTGTTGGAATGGAATAAGTGCTGGTAGAAGTTTTAAAACCTGTCCATAATCTCCAGTTCATTTTTACTTCATAGACCAATCAAAATTTCTGCAATATATTGAGAGAGGTTGCTTATGTCCTTAAACTGTTCTAGAACAACAGTGACATTTTCCGTTTTTTCTCTATCACATTGTATTTTGTTTGCAGTCTCTATAGTGTCCCGAAAACGTTTGTGATAAATTCACTGTTTCGTCTGTAAAAGGTCAAAGTAACTTGTCATGTGAGGTTTGAAATTATTCATTCTTCACTTTAGAATAGGCTTGATATTTCTTATTCATCTAATTAAAATGTACTTGAAATTATCTTTTGTTAACTCAAGTTGATGGTGACGGCTGCACTACATACAACGAAGAAATATCAAACAACGGTGGTGGATGGTCCTCCTAAAAAGAATAAATAATAAAGGGCAGAAGTCTCTAGGACATGTAAAATACGATGCTAAAAAAAAATACTTTACTCATTTTTAAATATAAGTAAAACTAAATCTTAGGTTAATTTTAGTCTAAATTTGATATAGTTTTTTTACTTCATCGAAGTGATGAAAGTGTTGAAACATCCCGAGACGAACACGTATTGGAAATAATAGATTATTACGTTGTGTTATAATGGGATGTGTATGGTATGTATACAAAAAAATCATTGACTTTACTTTTATTTTAACACACCTACTTTCAATTGATTTGATTGGACGAATATAGAAGGGTAAATCATAGAACTGATTGGTAGCTAACTTTTGAAATAGATAAACAAAATGTTGAACAAGGACCAAACCCAGATTTATTAGTGTTGTTGTTTACACAACAACGTGACATAATATTAGATAAAACCAAAATTTAACTCAACAAAAATAATTAATTTCAAATAACTAAATGAACTCAGTTTTGTTTGAGTTGGTTAATTAATTTAGACCCATCCGAAATAATAAAAATTGGTTCAAATCTTAGATAGTGAGTGCATTGAGAAATTGAAATAATTGTGAAACTGCCGCCTTTGAGGAAAAAGTGTGGCTATATATATATACAAGTCAATAATTAACAATTTAATTTGATTATAAGGGATTAAGATCATTGATTGTACCAAACAGAACATAGGACCATAGGCCCAAAACCTGGGACAAACATGTTTTCGGTGGAGACTTCGTGTCCTCCTCTCGCCACATGTGAGGAATTCATTTCTAGGTGCCCTTGCCCTACATACTTACACAACATGCTTCATTCTTCAACCTTCAAATTTCAACGTTTTTCCCTTTTTTTTTTTTATACCTAATATACAATTGTGCAACAATTATTTAATTTTTGTATGTAATTAATATAAATTTACTTAGCATAATATAAAAATAATGTTTTTTTACTCAACTGTGTCGTACAAGTCTACATAGATACGATATTATTTATTATTTTCTTATTTACTATCTGATAACTGATAAGATTCGCATCTATATATGCAGTTTCTTAATGAAAGAGAACTTTTCTAATAAATAAAAGTGAGTTTGGTTTTCTTTACATTTGTCCTTTAATTTTCTTTTGAAAGATAATTTCAAAATCTTTATTTAAATATTTTTTAGTTCTCTCCCGTACCCACTTTAATTTAACCTTTTTTTGTATTTTGCCTGAAAAAGGTTCGTCTGTGTGAGAGGTGAAGTGATGGTGATGGTGATGGTGATGTTGAGTCCGTGCAATACAGAAACTGTTTGATTGAAGTTCACTATCATTCATTGTCTGAACTGAAAGTATCTGGCGCTCCAATATAAACTGTTTCCAAAGGGGGAGAAAGATGGCCAAAGATTGAGAAGAATTGCAATCTTCTAATCTAATTGGTTCCATATACATGGCTGCTATCATGAGAACTTTGGTGACAAATACAATACACCCAATAAAGATAGGCATACCACTTTGTAGCCCATAGCAATTTTCCCAATAATTTTTCTCACAAAACTCAATTGCTGAGTAATCTGACATTGATGTTTCTTGTATTTTTTTTCCAAAGTCAATTGTCAGTTACCCAATAGAACTAACACGTGTGCAAGCTATTGACAAAGAGTGCTTGCTACCTCGCTCTCTCTCTCTCTCTCCCTTTAAATGGTTAATGCAACCTAATCATATTGTTTTTAGTTTTTCCTTCTCCTTAATTATTTATTTAAAAAAAAAATGTATATGATCTACAAACTTTTTTTCTAATAATTCCATATCTTTTTCTTATAAAAAGCATTGACCTACTTTTCCTAATCACCACCTTGCCTTACAAGGACTTGTTTCCCTGCCTTTTCCCACCTTGTTTGTGTCTGTGTATGAAACAAAATCTTTCTTCCTCCCAATCCATCACTTAGATCAAGACAATCAAAAGGCATGTTTGGACATCAAGAGATAGGTAAATATTAGAAAATAAACATCAATTTTCTTGTTCTCTTAAGAATCAATTTATTCATGAGCTGAAATTAGTATGATACCTTTCGTATCACAGTTTTAACCATGTTTTTGGTTTCTGGTGATGGTGCTGAGGGCATGATGCTCTTAAACCACCCAAAATATGCATTATTATTTCTGTACAGACTCAGGGTTTTAACATGCAGTTTTGTGTTTTTCCCAAAGATAGATTAGATGAGATAACAAAGGTGAGAGCAGAGGCCGAAGCATCTTCTCAAATGGGAAAGAAGCATTTCTATGGTCCAACTCCTGGGACAACCTTAAACACAGTAACCCCTTGTGCTGCATGCAAGCTTTTGAGAAGAAGGTGTGCTGAAGAATGCCCTTTCTCCCCTTATTTTTCACCACATGAACCTCAAAAGTTTGCAGCCGTTCACAAAGTGTTTGGCGCAAGCAATGTCTCCAAGATGCTTCTGGTTGGTGCCTAGTTACTTTTTTTTTTTTTCAATTGTTCACTGTTCTTATTGAAATAAAAATTGATTCATTTTCAAATTTATTTTTATGTGTAGGAGGTACCAGAAGGTCAAAGGGCTGATGCAGCAAATAGCCTTGTTTATGAAGCTAACTTGAGGCTAAGAGATCCTGTGTATGGATGCATGGGTGCAATTTCAGCTTTGCAGCAACAAGTTCAATCTTTACAAGCAGAAATAAATGCAATAAGGGCAGAGATACTAAAATACAAGTATAGAGAAGCTGCAAGTCTCATTTCTTCCAATCATGCTGCTTTGGTTTCTTCAGCTGATGCATTATCAGCAGCAATTCCTGCACAATCACAGCCACAAGGTCTTTCTCAACCTCCTCCTCCATCGATACCATTGCCTTCTCCTCCAGCTAAACCATTATCTTCTCCTTCTATTATCCTTTCATCCTTGTCTTCATCTTCAACTTCTTCTGTGTACACTCCTCCTAAAAGCTCAATGAGCCTCGGATCCATTTCCAGCACTGAAAATGTCCCATACTTTGTTTAGGTCCATTTGTTTACTATTCATTTGATGTAGAATAATCATGTTTTCTCAACAGTGTAGAATGTATCACTTGGTCATCTGGAGCTAATTATGGGAAAGGGAACCCCATTAGATATTCATATGCTGTTAGTGGTATTTTCTACTCTTTTGATGTTCTTTTTCACAAACATTATCGTTGTGATTTTTATTTTATACAACTTCTATTTATGATTGATTTGTCTTCATTTGTGAGAGTACTGCATTCGAAGTGTAGGAACAACTAGCATAAGGCAACAAATTTACTTTTTACCAGGTAACTAGATTGCAAAGTTTCATGGCTTGTAAAACCACCTTCCCTTGTGAAATAGTGTTCATCTTAAGAAAGGTTGAAACTGATGTAGAAGATTAAAGCATGAAATGGAGAAAAAGTTAATAAATTAGGTCAACTGGAGAGAGAGTATGGATGTTGGTAAAAGGAGAAAGCAAAAGCATAAAGAATACAATGAGAAACGCATGATGCTCTGAGAACTATGATTTTATTATAGAATTGGCGCTGAAGATCACATGAACAGATGAAGTATAGCCTTGAACAATTGGCCACTGCACGTGGGGGGAATATCTCCATTTGACTGAAGCTTAAATAACTCACTCGCGAGTCTGTGCCAGCTGCAGATTTAAAGGATGTGAAAGATTTAACTTCTTAGAAGGGAGACAAGGTACGGTGCCTGAGTTATAGTTCCTGTTCCCATGTGAAGTTAAACGTCATATATATTTATATATATAATGAAAATAAAATTTTTCTGTGTCTTTGTTGAATTAAATGCTTGTGGAATATAACTAAACTTTGATTTAAACAGTCAAATTATAACCACTGATTGCATAGAATAGTTAACTAGAATTAATTCTTATAGCTTCACAAGTCATTAAAAGTATGTATATATATATATATATATATATATATATATATATATATATATATATATATATATCCTATCTCCACTATAAGATAAAAGAGAGACATGGTGTGATAACAAAAGGCTATTCATAACCTTTTCTTTCAAAATGTGTGATATGTGAGGTATAGTGGCTTTGGAATCTTATGTAATCACCAAAAAAGTTAGGTAGAATAATAGAAGAATAGAAAGATTGATTATCAGTTAGCGGCAATACAAGTTGGTAGCACGTAGTTTAATCTAGAATAAAAAACATCTTCAGTTTCATTATAGTAGCCGAAAGAGAGAATTAAGCAGCTTTTAGATCAGCCAAAGTTACACTATATAAGCCATGAAAATGCTCGAATCAATAGCCTCTCATATGCATAGCCAAGCTAACTAGGAGAACCACCTTTAACGTTGAACACCAAAGAATCAAAGAAAGAAAAAAAAGAATGGTGGAATCGTTTGCTTGCAGAGTAATTAAAGTTGTTCAATGTAATGCAATCTAAGTCAATCTTTCTACCAACAAAATCTGGTAACCTGTGAAGCATTCGATTCCTTTGACGTGTGAAACTCAACCTGAGCTAGTGTGAAAGATAGGCCTAGAAAAGTTTAATAAATATAAAAGATAGTTAATAGACATGTACAGAATGCTCCATTTGTATTATTTATTTATTCCTTGTTCCATCTACGTTTCCATATTGTGTGGTAGTTTGGACGAAAGATGCGTATGGATTATGACACAGATCGAACTTGGTTTTGTCACCGTTGCTTGAAATATTCGCATCTTTGGCTCAACATGGCCATTAGTTATTGTTCAATTTACTATTACTTAAAAACCTCACTCAATATTCAAAACTTCAGAAACTTCATCTTTCCAACAAAGCATTATGTGTATCATGTCAAACACCCATCAACAAGGCATAAGAGTTTTGGTTTTCTTTATTCAGTTTTTTTTACAAGTGAAAGCAAGAAATAGTTTTATAACACGCAATTCAAGCTAGTTGAGCGACTTGGTGGTAAATCATGCAATATTTTAACTAATAATGTGGATTAAAAAAATATTATGAAACTGATATGGCATTTATGTGGGGTTGACAAATTGTAATGCAGTATTAAATGTCAGAAAAAGAAAAATTATGTGCTAGTGAGGATTCCTAGACACAGATGTATATTAATGGTAGGTCTTTGGATCTATCTATGTGTGTGATTAAAAGTCAAAGATACATGTCTAATAAAGCATTCACATGGATATATCTATGAATGTCTAATTAAGTATGAGTTGAGCTGCGTCACAGTAGTTAATGGGAGAGGTCCTTCCCAGTGACAGGGACAGCTCAAAACTTGCTTTGCATTAATGACTCCTCGCATGGAATCATGAACTACAACTTATATGCTTCATTTATATGCTTAATTTTTTAATCATGCCATATCTTATTGTTAATATGTTTTTTGGTTTATCTACAAAAAAAATGTTCGAAAGTTGGATAGTTAGATTTTAACATGTCCCTTAAACATATTCAACAGGACTCCAATTTTTTTATTGTGCAGAAATTTTTTAAATTTTTTTTAAAACTAATGATAATTTTTAATATTATCAAGTATTTTGATACATACCAACAAAATATAATATTAATTATGTTGAGATGATAACATTTTTATTTTGTTATAATTACATTTTTTTAAATATGTTAGATAAGAATGTAATATATATATATATATATATATATATATATATATATATATATATATATAAATTTGAGAACTTGATTAAAATTGTGAATTTTCAATTGAGGACTATAGTTGTAGAAAAAAATAGAAAAACCAAAACTACGTATAAAATATTAAAGAAAACTAAAAAAATAGTTGGAAATTGTTTTTTCGTTAGTCTTTGTCGGTGACGATGGTTGGTGATTGATGACATGACTACCTGTTATTCATGTCAGCAATCGTGTTAAAAATGGACTAAAGGTAAAAATGAAATAATTTAGAGTATCTAAAAAAAAAAAGTTCCCAGAGAGTAAAAAAAAACATGATTTAAAAAGATACAAAGTAAGTTATGTTGTTGTTGTTTTTTTTTTAAAGCAAGCCACTTCACGACCGAAAGGCAAAAGATTAAAATCCTTAAAAAAAAAGTTATCTCCTCAATTAATGTGTTGTTGACGTAGGAGTCAAAGTAATATGCTTAAAGGGTCCTAGCTACTAACCAATTCTATCAAAACTTCAGACCAAAAAGGCTAAAATCATTTTCGTCCTTATAATTTGACTTTCATGATTAATTGAAATTCGTGTAGCTATTTCAAACAACGATAATAATTTATTTCAAGTAAGAATAATAAAATTCAACGATCTATAAAAAAAATTATAATTGAATATTTTAAAATTTTAAATAAAAAATAATATTAATATGAATTAAACTTATATCTCATCAATTTCTAATAAATATTTCTCAAAATATTTAATCGAAAAAATAATTATCCATGATATCATGTGATTTTAGAAATGTTTTAATTTCTAAAGTAGACATTAATTATCTGCTTTTAAAATGAATAATAATTTCAAACAAACAAGCCATAGAACCATTCACTCTACCTCTGTACTTCATCATGTTGTTTTGCCTGTTTATTATATAAGCATCTGTTTTTGTGCTCGTTTAGCTTTTGAACGCTTCAATGTTTGTACTACATATGTATTTCTTAGCATTCATAATAAGCTCTATATTAGTTTAGACTTTAGAGGAGTAAAATCTGCCAGTAAAAAGTTAAACTGTGCAATGGGATAAAATTTGGAAATGTTTGGAAGCCCAAAAAACGGTTCAAAGCTAGTTTTTGTAGGCCTTATGGTAAGAGGTATCAAAGCTGTTGTATATTGGTTCATTTAACAACCATTGCCAGGTTATCTTTCAGCATTTTCCTTCTTAGCTTTTCTGTTTCTGAGAGTTAGCAGCTAAGCAGTTAGTTGATTGGTCATGTTAGTTAGGCTAATAGTAAAGTGTTTGTACCTATGTGAAAAGAAAGATTCAGAAGTTTAACACTAGTGGTTTCTGTGAGGAGATCAAGAGTTCATTGCTCTAATAAAATCACATTTCTTAATATCTATTTGTTTATTTTCTTTTTCTCGTTCTTGCTCAACAAGAAAATCATATTTTCGTGTGAAGTCTAATCTTGACTCAACCAAAGCCATAATAAGTGACAAGTAACTCCACCCATAATCACTGATATTTGTAGAATGGAGAACCCAAATCTACGGTAAGAAAACAAATCCCTCTTAAAGGAAATAGAAGATCAAAATAAAGTATTGAGTCTATATAACCCAGCTGACATAAATAATTCAAATTCACATCGTATGAGTTACATATTCTTTAGAAGTCCCAGCGGTTTATATTTCTATTGGACAATTTGTCCTAACGTCAACGGGTTTTAAGTTAGAATCTGAAATAGGATCAAAGCTTATAGTTCATCTTGTTAATTGTTTATTCTAATAGGTTTGTGTAGTTTGCTTAAGTAATGGAAGTCTCACATACCAAAATAAACCATATCATTTATAAAAAGTTCCAGTTAATTGGGAAGCAATGACATCAAAGAAAATATTGGCAAATATAACGCCAAAGCTAAGACAAATTAGATGACATGAACAAAATATACTAGTGTTCTCAAATTTTCCACTCCTGCAGAGAATACCATATGAAATATACAGTCAACAAACGGATTCCAGTTCTACATTGAATAATTATGGTATATAGGGTCAGCTCTACGATATAATCATCTCAACTTCAGCTTGATTTGTTATCTAAAACACAAACAATTTGCAGTGATTGAAAATTCATAGAAGTAGATTAAGCCAATTAACTGTGGGAAGAAAAAATATAGCTATATCAAGACTCAAAAAAATCAATGACTCTAACATGAAAATAAATGTAACAACCTATGACTTGTAATCAAAATAATATCACATGAGTTCATGACAGGTTATGTGAAACAATCAAAAGAAATAAATATTAGTTGATCCTCACCAAATTCAAATAGCATGTGTCTATAGAAAGAATCTCAACTAGTTTACTCTTACAATAGGCCTCTAGCAATCATTTCACGGAAAAGTTTCTCTGCCTTATCATTCTCATCTTCTTCAAAGAAAGCACGGATCATAATTTCAAAAGTTACAGCATCTGGCATGCAACCACTGTCTTCCATATTTGACCGCAAGACCAATGCTTCATCAAGTGAGCCCTCTTTACATAGCCCATCGATCATAACAGTATATGTATGAGCATTTAAGCAATAGCCCTTAGTCAAAAGATCCCGAAAAACTTGTTGTGCAATCTTAAGTTTTCCACCTTTACAGAGTCCATCAAGAAGTATAGTGGATGTGTATACATTTAGCCGAATTCCCTGGTTTTTCATTTTGTTGAACAATTCAATTGCCTTGTCAAGATGTCGATTTTTGCATAGAGCATCTATCAAGTTATTATAGGTGATTACATCAAGAGATTGACCGGTATCATGCATTTCATCAATAAGACCCCAAACATAAGATATTCTTCCTGATTTGCACAAACCGTCAATGAGAGAAGTATAAGTCACTGTATCAGGAGCCATATTTTTGTGGTGCATTTCTTTAAAAAGATTCATGGCATCATCCACCCTTTTAATCTTACATAGACCATGAATCATGATACTATAGCATTGAACATCTGGACTTATTCCCATTTGAGTCATAGTGTAGAATACATGTTTTGCATTCTTCACTTCATTAACTAAGAAATATCCATCTATTAAAGCACTACAAACAATAACATCAGGTTTGAAACATGTTTTCACAATCACGGCTAACACATTTCTAGCTTCTTTTACCTTTCCTTCCTTAAATAAAGCATCAATCAATATACCATAGGTATAAATATCTGGGTTGATGTTTTTCAACACCATGTCATTTAACAAACCAATTGCTTTGTTTAGTTGATCAATAATGCAGAAGCCACGCATTAGACTAGTGTAAGTGACAACATCAGGAAAAATTCTTCTTACAACCATTTCAGAATACAAATCACAAGCCTCATTTACAAGGTTATCTTTGCAAAGACTATCAATGATTATGCTGTACACTATCACATTAGGCTTAATAGACCTTCCTTCAATCATTCGCAACAACTGAATGGCAGCTCTTGTTTCTCCTATTTTACACATCCCATTGATCAAAATCCCATAACTAATCTCATCCAGCTTAAACCCTTGTGCTAATACCTTGTCATGAAAGTGCAGTGCTTTCTTGATCTCACCCTTAAGACACAGACCTTTCATGAGTGTGTTCAAGGTTATGGTAGTAGGGTGATGACGCAGTTTGAGAATCTTGCCCACTACAGAGAAAGCCAAGGTCATATGACAAATGGCAGAAACAGTTAACCAATATGTTCAAAGTGAAAAAGTCTGGCTGAATTCCACTGAATTCCATTTGCTTATAAAGAGAAATAGTAGTGGGGTAACGCTTAGTATTCACAAGGGAACTTAAAATCTTGTTAAATTGGAAGATGGATGGGGTAGGATGCATATGGAGCATATGATTGAATTGGAGAAGAGCGTCATCGGGATTTTGAATGAGTGGGGGCTGAGAGTGAGAGTGAGAGTGGAGAGTAGAGGGTGAAGGGAAGCAAAGAAAGGAAACAGGGTTTGGAATAAAAGGAGAAAAGTTGGGAATGGAAAGAGAGAGAGAGAATACCTTAATCTTCTTTCTTGTCCATGACATTTCTTGTTTATCGACACCAACATAACCGAGAAAGCTGTGTTTGTTTTTGGTTGGTTGCTGTGAGAGAGACCAAAGTTCGGTCTGCTACTACTTCAGCTTCTGGGAACAGTAGAACTGATGCGGGGCTTACACTGTAAACATAAAAGAAAATGAAAAACAGAGATATGTCGACTTTTTTTCATAAATAATCGATCATTTGATATTATGATCGATCATTTCATGCAATGAACTCTCGCTCAAACGATGAAACCCTTCGCTTAAGCGAGGAAATCTGTAACAAAGGGTAATCTCGGGTCAATTCTCGCTCAAGCGAACCCACCCAACGCTTGAGCGAGAAAATCTGTAGCAAAGGGGTAATCTCGGGTCAATTCTCGCTCAAGCGAAGAAACTCTTAAGTGGTTTTAATCGATTAAAATGTGTTTTAATCGATTAAAATAGTTCTGATCGGTCATAACTCAATTATGATCGATCATATCTTATTCTGATCGGTAATAATTTTATTCTGATCGATCATCCTGAACTCCAAGTGGTTTTAATCGATTAAAATCAAGTTGTATCGATTAAAATACTGTAAAAACATTTCAATTGACATTTTAAGTAATTTTAATCGGTTATATCAAAGCTGTATCAGTTAGAAACTTGTTTAAGAAAGCTTTTGTCAAAATACTTTGTTTTTAATTGTTAAAAACATTTTTAGAGGCATTTTGCAAAATCTTTTAAGTGAAGAAACCTCATGCAGCAGAAAAGATAAAATGATTATACCTAAGCATAGCTGCGGACACACTAACTTTTCTACTCTTCTATCTTAGTGACTTTTGTCCACTGCAAAGTTGCTTTTGACTTCATTTTTGACTTCATCAAATCAATGAGATCTTTGCCAAAGTATTTCAATGAGATCTTCATCACTTTCAGCATTGAATTATTTTCTGTCCATCCGCTTCCATTTCTCATGTATGCACTTCTAATGGATTCATGTCGGTCTGATATGAGGCATAATCCTTGCTGGGGTGTGACATATCTTTGAAGGTTTTTTAAGAAAAAAAACCAGGCATCACTTGTTTCACCTTCAACCACTGCAAACGCAATGGGGAGGATGTTGTTGCGGCCATCTTGTGCTACTGCAACCAACAAGGTACCTCTATATTTTCCATACAAAAAAGTTCCGTCCACTTGAACAATGGGCTTGCAGTGAACAAATCCATCTATGCATGACCTAAACGACCAAAACACACGTTTAAAAATATTTGAATTTTGTTGAAGGACTTCACCTTGGTAAGCTGGTTGTGACTGCAGTTTGTAGATGAATCCGGGAACAAATTGTTGCATGGCTTGTAACAAACAAGGCAACTTCTTATACGAATCCTCCCAATTGCCGTAGATGATCTCCACTGCCTTTTGTTTGGCCAACCAGGCCTTCCTGTATGTTATAGTGTAACCCGTTGTTAATTGGATGTGGGCTATGATTGTGGAGATTGGTGTTGACGAATCAGCATCAATTATTTGACCAATTGTTTGGGAAATCATTTTTGAAAGTGATGTGGAATATCTTGGCAAAGATCTCATTGATTTGATGAAGTCAAAGATGAAGTCAAAAGGCTACTCTGCAGCAGTCAACAAGTCACTCAGATAAAAGAGTTAGAGGATTAGTGTGTCTAACAGAATGCTTAGGTAAAACCACTTTATCTTTTCTGCTGCATAAAGTTTCTTCTCTTAAATGATTTTGCAAAATGCCTCAAAAATCGTTTTAAACAAATTAAAAACAAAGCATTATGACAAAAGCTTTCTTAATAATGTTTTTAACTGATATAGTTTTGAAAGAACCTATTAAAATCTCTTAGAATGTTCAAAGAAGTAATTTTACAGTATTTTAATCGATACAAATTGCTTTCAATCGATTAAAACCCTTTAGAACTCATTATGACCGATCAGAATACAAATATGACCGGTCAGAATAATATTTGACCGATCAGATTTGAATTATGAGCGATCAGAACAAATTTCAATCGATTAAACCACGTTTCAATCGATTATAATCACTTAAAGAGTCAGAATGATCGATCAGAATACAGTTATGACCGATCAGAGTTGGTTATGATCGATCAGAATGGAATTATGACCGATCAGATATGTTTCAATCGATTAAAACGACTTTCAATCGATTAAAACAACTTGGAAAAATTTTGTACAGAGTTTTAATCGAGTAAATCTTCTTTTTATCAGTTAAAATAACTTGAAAAGTTTTATAAGAAAGTTTTGCAGTATATCAATCGATTAAAACACGAAACAATCGATTGAATCAAACTTAGAAAAGTTTTGTAAAGTGTTTTAATTGATATAACCGTTGCAGTATCAACTAAAACAATTCTGTTAAAGAAACAAGAACGCATTAATGGATTGAAAGGACTTTTAACAGATTGAAACGGCTATTTCAACAGATTAAAACAAACTTTCAACAGATTAATTAATGCAGCAGTTTTTGAAATTACTCTTTAAAAACAGTTTTGCTTGAACTTTTGAAATATACTTTGAATATCAGTTTTTACACATCCTTAAGCAATCATTCAAGCAAACCTTAGAACTTTTTCAAGAAGGATTCGCAACAATTTTTTGAAGTTATTTTGAAAATCTTTCTTGAGGCAACTTGCATTCTTTTGAAGAAGAAACTCTCTGCAGATTTGGATAAACTGGTTTGAGCTTTCTAGTTTCTTCTTTGTAAATTCTTTTTCATTCTTTTGTATTGTGTTGTGCCTGGAATTTGGGCACAAGTTTCTCTGCAGCTGGAAGTTGGTTGTGGAGGTTATCAAGAACTGGAATTTGGTTCTTGGTGAAAGGTTTGGTGCCTGGAATTTGGGCACTGGTTTCTCTGCAACTGGAATTTGGTTGTAGAGGTTATCAAGAACTGGAATTTGGTTCTTGGTGGAGAGGTTGAGTACAGGAACTGGAATTTGGTTCTTGTACTGTGTGGTGCCTGGAATTTGGGTACTGGTTTCTCTGCAGCTGGAATTTGGTTGCAGAGGTTATCAAGAGCTGGAATTTGGTTCTTGGTGGAGAGGTTAAGTGCAGGAACTGGAATTTGGTTCTTGTGTTAGATTAGGTGTAAGATTGTTGAATCTGTAAAACATTTAATCTAGTGGAACCCAGCTGGAATTTGGCTGGAGACTGGACGTAGCCCTGGTATTGGGTGAACCAGTATAAAATACCGGTGATATCTTCCTTAACCTTTCTCTCATTTAAATTCAGTTGCTGCGCTTATTTTAATTGATTGCTTTGAGATTCAAGAATAGATTAGTAAACTTAATTTTCGAATTAGATAATCTGTGATTTGCGAAAAACTTTCAAAGATCAATTCACCCCCCCTCTTGATCTAAAACTACTTTTCTAACAATTGGCATCAGAGCGAGGTGCTTGAAAGTTATTCAAGTTCTTCGATCCATGGCTGGAAACAAATTTTCTGAGGGAGCTTGTATTGATAGACCTCCACTGTTTTGTGGAACAGATTATCTATTTTGGAAAATGAGGATGAAGATCTTTATTGAATCTGTTAGTATAAATGTTTGGAATGTCATTGAACAAGAAACTGTTATGGCTAACAGAATCCAAGATGATTGTATTGCCAAAAATATCATCTTATCCGCTCTTAACAGAAATGATTTTTTCAGGATTGCACATTGTCAAACTGCTGCACAAATGTGGAAGATCCTTGAAAAGACCTATGAAGAAGCACCAGAAATATGCTTAATGGTCAACCCAGAATCATCAAATACCAGTGTAAGTTCTGAATCTATGAATTATAGCTCATTACAAGATGCTTTCTTCGAAATACATGCAGTAGCAAAGAAACTAGAAACTGAAAACAAAAAATTGAAAAGCATGAATAGGTTATTAGAAAACAAGATCATCATTCTTGAAAAGAAAATAGCTGATGAAGAAACCAAGAATGAAAATTTAGAATTAGAAAATATTTCTGATTGCATGTGTAATGTTGATTGCAAAAACTGTCCTGAGTTACAAAAACAAGTATCTTACTTGGTAAAAACTGCATCTAAATTAGCACAAGGAAAGACTAATCTTGATAGGATACTTAATTCCCAGAAATTAGTTATTGAACGTGGTGGCATAGGCTTTACACCGTCTATAGGAAAGAAAACCAGAGCATTTAAAAATTATTTTGCATATAGTAAAACTGTTTCATCTCCGTTTATCAAATGCTTTTACTGTATGAAAAAAGGGCACTCTGTTAAATATTGCAGAATTAAGAAATATGCCGTACCTAAAGGTAGAATGAAGTGGGTTCCAAAAATTAATTCATTTCAAATAACCTGATCAGGACCCAGTAACTATAAAGGGTACCAGAAAAATTCTTAACTTGTTTTGCAGGAACAAAGTCTGGGAATCCCTTGGAGTTCAGAGCTACGAATCAGGTTCTGATTATTTAAACTGATTGTTTTAATTGATATAAAGCAATATTAATCGATTAAAATAACTTACAGAGGTATCAGAAAATCTGTCCGTACCATTTTAATCGATTAAAATGTCGAATTAATCGATTAAAATGTTCTCAGGATTTGAGTTTAGCTGTTTTAATCGATTAGAATGAATTTATATCAACTAAAATCACTAAGGTATCAAATTTAAT